TGACAGTTCTGGCGGCCAGTCTTAATTTGTTTAGCTAGAAGTATTTGCCGAAAAAGCCGGTGCCGGGTTGCAACGAAAACTGCGGGAAACCATGCAAAAAACGCATCTTCGCACGGGTAGCTCGCGCGTTGGCCAACTATTGAAAATGTGCTCTCGAGAGGCACAACAGGCAAAAGTGCACATTTTCATAGGTGAAAATTAATTTTATGCTTCCATCTTTTAGCAGGGGATATGCAGTCAAAATTTCTATTTCATAACTTTTCTGCTTCCACTTCAACTTATGTACTAAGAATATCATGGTATATATAACATATACCCTGGCATTCTCACATATGATGAACCAAAGTCCGCATCAAGAATACCAAAACCATTCGGACTATCTGTTACTGATGTTACTCCCACATGCTGAGTACAGATATTCGCTCCTTCGACGTTGAGCTGCATGTCACTAATCGGTACTCACCATCTATTCGGTATATGTGCACCACCCTTTCGCGGTCGCCCCAGTAATCTAAATTTTCTCAGGAACACCGCTCATTAATGTGCACACCGGTTGCTGGCAAGGTAAGTGAAACATGTCCTGTTCATCGGATTTTACTTCCTTGGATGGTCGCAATGATATCCTGCAAGCCACTCATCTGACGGGGAGACTGATCATTTATGTAGTCGCAGATGGATATTCCTCCGCACCATCGTTCTCTTCGTTACAGACAGCGCTCGTTCTCTTGCTTTTGTCAGTGACCATGTTTTGCATCCGTACGTTGCTGACTTCAAAACAATGGTACTAAAGAAGTTGGCACAGTCTTTTCGGCGCTTTAAGGATCGACGGTGCTGTGGAACTTGTGCCAACCGGTAGCCTTTCGACGTGCAATATTTGGCTGGGGATTATGGTATATATTTATTCTTTGTCCAGAAAAGATGTAACTGCCAAATGTAAAGGACACGGGGTCTTGTTCCCACAATTCTAACTCTCTTTCAAAAATCAAACGTTAAAAATATTCCAAAATACGTTAAAAATGATATTAAAAAATACATTATAAAATATATTTCATTTGACGTTAATCAAAACACAACGCAAAAAGTGTGCTAGAAATATCTTCTCCAGAATTTTGGACCCCGCTCCCAGATCGCGAAGAAGAAAAACTATTCTAACTATAAACGCAGTACATTATCTTTTCCAGCCTCCCAAACGGAAGACTGGGAAAGTCAGCCCCTGCCAATAATGAACAGCGGAGCGTACCAGTGCAGCCGCTGCGATCATGCGTTTAGCACAGTTCCGTCCAGCAAACGCTTGCCTGTTAAGGATTTTCACTACTTTACATTTTTGGCCCAAGCAAAAACAGTTGAATCTTGTCTGGTTCCTAAGTTGCAAATTTCCAACTTAAACCCTGGGCGGTGAACATCCTTCCACAATCAACCTCCTAATTTTCTGGCTTTTGAGTGACTTCCACGCCAAAACTTTTACTTGATCGTATTTGAGACCTAGGCATGCTTGGGGACTAAATTTGAGTTTTTGTGGTCCCTGCACAGGCAGAAAACATCCTCGGGTAATATTTTTCCTCCTAAAAACATTTACGAGGACGTGGAAATCCATGCGTGCGTGAAAGCCGAATTTGAATTTGCAGGGTCGTAAGTGAGCAGGGGACAGTA